ATGAGGTACAGACGTACCATGGAGTATTATTAGGTAATAGAAAGGGACAGGGATGTAGCTCAGTGGCACTGCGCCTGCCTTGCAAGTGCAAGGTCCTGAGTTTGATCCCCAGTACCAAAAAAAAAAAACATAGATAAGTAGGTAATAGAAAGGACTTGAGTTCTGATACATTTTACAACCCTGAAAACATTATGCTAAATTAGAGAAGCCAGACACAAAAGATACATACTGTATGATTCCATTTAAATAAAATGTCTATAAGAGGTAAATTTATGGTGACAAAAAGTAGATTCATGGCTGTTTACTGCTGGTCCCCCAGCAGTAAAGGGGTGATGGGTTTATTTTGGGAGGTGATGAAAATCTTGTAAAATTGATTGTGGTAGTGGTCATACAACTCTAAACATACTGAAAACCACTGAATTGTACAACTTCAAATGTGTTAACTGTGTGATATGACTTAAAACTCAATAAAGCTACCCTCCCCAAGAAAATCCCCCACAACCTTAGGTCTCCAAGTTGATGTTCCATGCTAAAGTTAAAAGACTAACTGAATATATATTTTGTTGTTTACTCTAGTATCCTTTGCTAATAGCACCCCAACTTCCTTCACATACCTTCTTTCCCCACTCCTAAAGATCAAGTCTGACCAATCTTCTAAACCATGTAGTATTCAACCCAACCTAGGCCAAATGAATGCTCCCTCCTTAGAATCTAAATTGTTGTAGTACATCCACTACAGCTTTTGGTCACTCCAAATGTTTCTCCAGACTTTAACCTTGTGAACTCCCGATATTCTTTTAATAAATTTCCTTCTGCTTAAGTTAAACTAGTTTGTTACCCACAAAACAACCGAAGGATGGTATACTTTCTAATTTCCTAATATTGAGATATTTTATATAACTGTGCTACTTACAAAAGCTCAAAATTCCCATCTAGCTGCAATCAGAGTAACCACTTCCTCTTACTTCCCAAAGCTGGGTAAGACTTAAGAACCTTCATTTCAAGGAGAGAAAAAGAAAAAACCGTAGGCACTGTGGTGAAGCTGACAATGGTTGTAACAGATGCTCCCTGATATCCAGACAAAAAAGGGTAACAGAAAGCTAATTTCCAATATTATTTTTAAGAAAAACACCCCAATTTTACAATGCTAACAAGTAGGGAAATGTTGCTTTTGCATACTTGGGGGGGGTGGAGGGGGTTGGTACTGGGATTGAATTCTGGACCTCTGCACTGAGCTACATGCCCAGACCTTTAAATTTTTCGAGACAGGGTCTTGCTAGGTTGCTAAATTACCAGTGATGAGCTTCAACTGTTGCTTCTCCTGCCTCTGCCTCTCAGCATGCTGGGATTACAGGTGTATGCCACCATGCCTGACTTTTGAATACTTTTAAGTAGAATTTAGAAAAACAATTCTTTTAACCATAATCAACCCATTGTTAGCAGGAGGATATAACTTACTAAAGGACTCAGAATGCTGTAATTCCCAAATACAAAGGGCAAACTATTAATCCTTGTTAAATACAGCTAACAAATTAATTTGAGCTTCATGACCTGGTACAACAGTAAGGAGCTTCCACAATCCTCTCAGTAATAGTCTACCTGTCATTTCCTTACCTTCTCAGATTATCTACAGTCTTGTGTGGTTAGGGTCTGGAAACAATAGGAGCTGCTATCTTTCAATTCTAATATCAAAGTTTGTATAAACTTTTACAATGCAAAACAGAAAAGAAAACAGGTTCTTAGGCCTTCCAAAGAAGGTTTTGCCCATATAAAGGTATACTTTTATTAGAGTAGCATAGTATTTTACCAGGCATAGTGCTCAAGCTTAAAACTAGGTGGCTACATTCACAAAAGATATATGGGAGCAATGTGCAGAATATCTAGCTCCAGATTGTCCATGTAAAATCTTCTGAGAGCATTTTAAGTGCCTCATCCTCCAATAATTTCAGAGCCAAACCACAAGTAAATTCCATCTCTTAAAAAGATTCAAATGCAGACAACCAACCCATTTAATAAAAAAAAAAAAAAAAAAAAAAAAAGGCTTCACTATCTAAAAAAAATGCCTAGGTAAAACTAAGTTCTAAGTACTACATATCTGCAGCTGGGCATGGTGGTATACACCTGTAATCCCAGCACTCGGGAGGCTGAGGCAGGAGGATCGCCATAAGTTCGAGGTCAGCCTGAGCTACATAGTGAGACCTTGCTTCAAAAAACAACCAAAACCAACCCCCAAATAAATAAATATTTGCTAAACCTAAATATTTAAAAGACAACAAATACATTTTAGGAAGGAAAAAACAAGAAAAGTCAGATGAGAAGGCCGACAAGAATGCGAAGAATAGTAGAAAGCAGCCCACTACGAGGTTCGATTTTACTAGGGGATTTGTAAATTTCTTTTTGGTTCCAAAATCCTAATGTTTATAATTTGTCCTTTGGAATGAATCTAAGAAATACACTATCTTGAGCTTTCCACAGATTCTCAGGACTAAACATGAAAGAAAAATGTACCAGTTCTTAGGTGTCTACAACATACTTATATTCATACCATAGCACATTATCTTAAAGTACTCATTTTAAATTTGATCTTCACAACAAAAACTTTGTGAAGATTATTTCTACTTTACAAAAATAAGCCAAACGTCAAATCATTAAGTGGCTGGACAGTTCATTGCCTATATGCTACAAATAATAAAATCAATTTTCAATTTTAATACAAAGTAAAAACGAGTCAGCAAAAGTGCTCAATGACAATTAGGTCTGCTTAAATAATGAATCGAGGTCTGCTGAACTAACTTACTTCCTTTTCCGATAAAACTAGTATATGAAATAACCCATAACATGTAATGATCATTTATTATGTATTAGGCACCATACTAAGCAAATGATGAATTTTCAATCTTCTTTTTAACAATAATCCTATGGTATACACTATTACCTCAGTCTTACAGGTCAGAAAGCCAAGACTTAAGAGACATAAACCAAATAACCAACTTGTGATTTAACCCGGGCAGTTCCCTAGACCAAGTATGCCTACAGACACTGGTTAACTTCATTGAAGCATTCTAAATGAGAAATAGCATTGTGCTAAGTATGGAGATTTTAGTGATAAAAGTTTCTACAGTAAAAGAGTTCTATTAATTCTTTGTAAATAAAATGGGTTAACATGAACTACATCACTGTAAATTTCTAAATATTTCTAATATCTATTCTGAAATTGCCTGCCCAATGATGACGCATAATCTTGTCTGGATACTCTCTCCAGGCAAAGCACATTCATTACCCTAGAGTTCTCTCCTTGGAACAGGATCACTTCTTACAAGTTGATCTATCATCTTCTAATGACACGAATATGCAATTCCAAATAGAAAGGTACACATCATGCTATGTTAAAATTATCTGTACAATCAGCTATCCTTTCCACCAAACTGTAGGACATGAACATTATCAGTCTTGTACACCACAGAATACTCTGTCTATAACTTTCTAAATCTTTCAACAAAAAAGTACTCAGTGAGGTCACAGCATCTGTCCTTAGCAGAGCATGGATTTAACAGCTTCCTCAACTGAAGCAAGCAGCTGCTGCCTTCAATTATCAAACTGATATATGTATAGTATATTTATATGTATGTATCTTAAGGCACTAGGTGCACGCTTGGCCATTTCAGTGGAAGTAGCAGGGAAATAAATATGAACTCATATATATGTAAATATGTATCTACACACACACACACACACACACACACAAACACACACTATATTGATTCCCAATACTATTCCCCACTGAAAGGATTAAGACTCTAAATTCCAAGGCTGGGGCACAATAAATATAATTTTGGCATCATGTTATGCCACAAAGTAAGGTAGCTGAGCACAAGAAAGTGAAGACAGTGTATCACAAAACAGGAACCAGCCTGAAGCTTATACTGGTCAAAACTGGTACAATTCAAGCACAAAAATACTACCAAAAAAAGAAATTCATTAGCTCAGTGGTTCCGCCACCTGCCCTGCAAGCACAAGGATCCAAGTTTGATCCCTGGTACCCCCCCAAAAAAAAAAAAAAAAAAAGGAATTCATGAGTCTATGCTGATAACAGATTAAGTATGGAGGGTAAGGGAAAACTCTTCTTTATAGGAGCTAATATGGAGGAAGTGCTAGAGTTGGAGAATGAGCAAAATCAAAGTATGCTTAACAGGAAATTTTGGTGAAGAGTAAATACCCACATGATCTTCAATAGCTCCCCAGACTGTTAGTTTTGAGAAGAAAAAAAAACAGACAACACCTTGGCAAGCTAATAAGAATTATCACCAATCTGAATTAGATGAACACTATGTATAGTCAAATATGATACCCTGAGAAGACTAACATGACTTCTACAGGATTCTATTGAGAAAGCGTAACTTGAACCTACTCATATATAAACATCAGATAAACCCACAGTGAGACATGTTCTAGCAACAAAGGGAATGTATTTTTATGTCAATGTCATAAAAGAAAAGACTAGGAAAATTCTCATCATTAAAATAGGTCACAGAAGCATAGTGCCTATAAGCCATACCTAATCTGACTGGATCCTATACAAGAAGGAAAAAAATGCTACAAAGGACATTTTTGGGTCAATTAGTAATTAGAATAAAATGTTAACTTTAAAAGGACATGAGTCTGTAATTTAACCTTAAGAAGTTCAGAAAAAACCGGGGACTGTGGAACACACCTGCAATCCCAGAACTGAAGCAAGCTGATCAAGTTTGTGTCCCATCTGGGCAACTTAGCAAGACTCTGTCTCAAAAAAAAAAAAAAGTGCAGAGGATGGTAGAGAGCACCTTCCTGGGTTTGATCCCTAGTGCAAAGACAGAAAAAGTTCAGAAAAATAGTTTGTGGAAATGTGTATGTGTATAAATGTATGCCTGAGAGAAATATTATGCCACTTCCACGTAACAAAAAGACAAGTATGTAATGTAGAACACATAACGTTATATATGTAATAAAAAGGGTAAACCTACCTGAATAGGAGATGGCTTTTCCCAGCCCATTTCAAAAATTCCCATCAGTAACTCCCGTTTCAAACAGTAATCTTCAAACTCATTTCCTTTTGTGGAAGTCACATCCTAATAAACAACAAACAAAAATAAAGTACAACTATGCTATCTGGCAATTAGCACACTTAGGAATTTGTTTGAGCTAGCCATGGTAGCCCACACCTATATTCTAGCACTCTGGGAGGCTGAGGCAGGAAGTTCAAGGTCAGTCTGGGGCAAATTAGTGACATAGTGAGACCATGTCTCAAGATAAAAAATGTCTGGGAATGTAGCTCAGAGATACAATGCCTCTGAGATTAATCTCTAGTAATGCAAAAAAAAAGAGGGGGGAGCGCTGTGGTCAGTCTTCTAAAAACTGGTAAAATATTGTTATTTCTATACAAGTATTTGATGCATCATTAATCACAAGAAATAAAATCAGACTCTAGCTCTCCCACTCACTAGTTACCAGTATTTGGACAAGTTTGGGTTTCTCAAGCTCAGTATACTAAAACTGGAGCCAGAAAATTCTGCTTCAAGAAGCTGTCCTATAGCATTCACCCAGGGTTGATAACCAAAAATGCCTCTGGCTAATGCTAAATGCCCTCTAGGGGACAGAATCACCTCTTCTCTAAATTTGTTTTCTCATCCACAAAATGAGCATAATACCTAACCTGAGTAACTGGGCTGCTGGAAGCAATAGAAAATTAGATAAGATGTGCATATGTTTAAACATATTATTTAACATATACAATTTTATTATATCATTCTACCAAAGAATGGTGGAAAATTTTGGCAATCTATTATGTGGCTTATACAATACAATCTTAATCATTTCAACCTACTTAAGAGTAAATCCATATTATCTAATGTTATTACAAGTTAATTACTTCTAGTTTTCCTACCATTTTCCCACTTGAATTCTCCAACCAACTTACCGAAGTTTTGATTCTTAGATCCTTTGGAGGGAGTTTTAAAGTCTTTTTCCAGTCATCACCAGGCCTAGAGAGAATATAGTAAATGTGAAGTATCAAAATTCACAGTCTTATCTAATAATGCAACAATTTGATGACTGTTATAACAATTAATTAAAATATAATTAAGTTCTAAAAAGCATAGTAAAGCTGGGCATGGTGGTGGATGCCTGTAATCCTAGTACTCTGGGAGGCTGAGAGGAGGATCCCAAGTTTGACTCAAGCCTGGGCAATTTAGCAAGATTGTCTCAAAATAAAAAATAAAGGGCTGGGGATGTCACTCAGTGCAAAGGCCTTGAGCTCAATGCTTAGTACTACAAAAATAAATAAAATTTTAAAAAGTACAGCAAGTTTAATATATACCCATGTACTCAAGAGTACAGTTAATCAGACAGTGAAACAAGGTTTAGAGCATCTATTCTCCTAAGAGATGCAGTATAATATATAGTACAAATGCTGTCAAAATGTTTTGTTTGAACTAGTGTTTTAATTCAAATTAGCTGCCAACATTTAAAAACCAGGAAATTTCAAGTAAAACCTCAGATTCTGAATTTTCTTGAAAAGCTGGAAGGTGCCCTGCGTTTGATTCCCAGCATCAGAAAAAGGAGGGGTAAGGGGAGGGATAGAGGGAGGTGAAGGGGGGGAGGAGACAAAGGGAGAGGAGGGGAAACAAGTGGAAAGGGAGGGGAGGGGAGGAGAGAAGAGGGGGGACAGAGGAGGAAAAAGGAAAAAAAGAAAAGTATAAGCTTTAGCAACAGTGTTCCAAATTACTAAGTGGTAACAGTTTGGTAGAATTTAGTAACTAAAGTTTAAAATCAAGTGTTGGGGCTTTGAATCCAAGGGCTGGCACATGCTAGACAAGGGCTCTACCACAGAGGTACTTCCCAGCCCTTTATGATTTGAGAGTTACACTAAATTGTCCAGATTTTACTCAAACTTGTGGTCTTCCTGCCACAACCTTTTGGGCAGCTGGGTTTAAGGGCATGCACACCCATGCCCACCTTAACTGCCCCCATTCCACAGGGGAAGTACCTTCCAATTCTGCACTTAGGCATCTTAGATTGTAACTCCCAGTAACTAAAACCAAAGATGCCTGAAGCAGGCTATGGTGGCTCACACTTGTAATTGCAGTACTTGGGAAGCTGAGGAAGGAGGATCACCACTGAGGCAAGCCTTAACTACACAGCAAGACCCTGTCTCAAAAAACCAAGAAACAGGGCCGGGGATTTAGCTCAGTGGTTCTGGTGCCTGGCTTGCAGGTGTAAGGTCCCAAGTTCGATCCCCAGTACCAAAAAAAACCCCAAAAAAACCCCAACAAACCAAAAAAACACAAACAACAAAAACCCCAACACACCATCCAAACAAAAAACAAAGATGCCTGTAAGTCTTACCTACTGAGGAAGGTGAAACAGGAGGATCACTTGAACTTGAGAGCTCAAGTCCAGCCTGCACAACTTAGCAACTCAGTCTCAAAATGTAAAAGAAAGGTCTGAGGATGTAGCTCAGTGCAAAGGCCCTGCGTTCAATAACCAGTACTACCAAACAAACAAACAAAACAAAGACTATGAAGTAGTTTTTATCCTTAAGAACTAAAAGTTGCCTAAATTTTTCTAGCCTATTTATATTTTGTCAAGACAAACTACATACAATTCAGGAAACATTCGTAATTTCTATACCAATGAAAGGATTCACCTTAAAAATAAAATGCACTAAGCTGGGCATGGTGGCAAAAGCCTGTGATCCCAGCAGCAAGGAGGCTGAGGCAGAAGAATTGCTGAGTCCAAGGCCAGCCTGGACTACATAGTAAGTTCAAGACTAGGCTGGACTACACAGTGAGAATCTATTTCAAAAAAATAAAAACAAACAAAAAGCACTAATGCCAGTTCTTCCAGTGATCAAACCAAGTCTATTGGGAATTAATCCTTACAGTCACTAGTGAACCACCCAACAGTAATCATCTATAATACTCTGGTAGCTTATAAGGACTATTTTCCACTAGGAAGTGAAAAGGTCCAGACCAGTGGCAGTGAACCCACAGCATGTGTGCCCAACAGGTTGTTTATATTATTCAAAGCTCTAAAAGATTTGGCATCACTGGCCTAGACAGTAACAAAGTATACACTTTAGCTCAGTAAACCAAAATAACATCATCTTACAAAGAGTTCTCTATATATTATATCATTTTAGATATGGCCAAGTTTTAACAAAAGTCACACACTTCAATTGGGATCCAAAATCTTAAAAGTCAATTCTGTGCAACTGAATCTTTACAGTAACAGTTACCATCCAAATAATTTAAACTAAGCACCTAAAGATGACCAACAGCCTACAAACTGAGTTTTGAAAATATTCTGTAATGGGGCTGTGGCTTTAGCTAAGTGACATGCAAGGCACTGGGCTCAATCTCCAGTAGCAGAAGAAAAAAAAATTCTGTAGTAAATGAGGCCCTTATGTTTTAGTAACAAAGGAGTTTTGAGACAAAAATGTATGTTTCTGCCAGAGATGGTGGCACATGCATATAGTCCCTGTTACTTTAGAAGACTGAGGCCAGACGAGACAACTGAGATCCTATCTCGAAATAAAAAAGTTTTTTTTACAAAGGAGAAAGCCTGTGGATGTTTAGTGATAAGACCTTGTATGTGAGGCCTTGGATTTGGTCCACAGTACAAACAAATGAGTGGGTGAGTGAATGAATATATGAATCATGAAAACTCAGGATTTTTGAACTCTTAGAAATATTTTTTTTGAAAGACTGGGTATTGAGTAGATTTTAAAATCAAGCAGCCGACCCCCTTCCTTTCATGGGTTCAAGTTCCAAAAACACTGTTTCCAAGAATTCAAAAATCCTGAGATTTCTGATTGATTTTGCAGTACTGGGGACCAAATTCAAGTCTTCAAGCGTATTAGGGCAAGCATTCTACAACTGAGCTATATATCCCCAGTCCCTCTGATTTATTTTGTATAAAGAAAAAATATAAAAAGTAGAAAAGGGCCGGGGATTTAGCTCAGTAGTTTTGCTGCCTGCTGCTCAAGCGCAAGGACCTGAGTTCAATCCCCAGTACCCAAAAAAAGAGTAGAAAAGTGAATTTCCAGAACTAGAAAGTTATGTATAAATTTTCTCAAACACACTCTGGAGTGCAAAAAGCTGGTCATATTTTAAATCTAAAGTTTGCTTTTTTAAAAAAAAATTTCAATTTGCTTTAGCTGCCATTTAAACTAAAAGGTACACTGTTAACATTAGAAAAAGACTGATAAAAAATTCTGATCATTTATGTACAAATTCAGCTAGTAACTTCTACAATGAGCTAATAATGAAAACCAGAACTGTCTCTTAAAATAATCTATACAAAATTAAGACACATCACCTGTGCCTACCAAATATTCATTACTTGCTGAATTAATTATGGCAGAAATGTTATTGTATTGTATATACCTACTATGCATAAAATTATCCTTTATTTACAATCAAAATGTTTACGGTAAAAAGTAGCTAATAACAAAAAGAAATCCTGGTTCCCCAAGTGTGTTTATTATTTTCTGTCACTTACTTTATAGTGGTGGTCATACTCTGTGCTTGCTGCTGAGTGCCATTATTGATTGTGTTGGTGTTTTTCAACTGGTTCATCTGTTGCTGTGTCTGTGTGCCCCCTCCTCCGGGGCCACCACTGGGCTTCACAGGGCCCCTCAGCTGACCATTTTGACTGGACAGACCCATTATAACAGGGTTCTCTGTTCTGGCCGTGCTCATGCTGTGTTAATTGCAAAGGTGTCTCTTTCAAACTTCAAAGCTTTTGAAAGTCAGTAAAGAAACTGTAATAACAGTTTATTAGGCTCTCCAAAATGAAGAGATAAATATAAGTCTTGCTCAATATTTGAGTCCTTTATTGCAGTGCAGGCAAGCACCTGTAAGTCTCTGAACGGTAAGCAGCAGTAACTTGCTCTCATGCACAGAATCAATTTTTTATTTTTAAAAAGCCCTCTAACAAGCGTGAGTTATATCTGAATTCACTCACTTCAATCTGAAACAAAGAAAAAAAATTAAATTAGCAAACAGGAAAGTTAGAAAAAAATTTTTGTTTTACTTTCAAATAACTCCTTTAGACCAGCTTTTAAAGAATACTGCTGTTACATTTAGGACAAATCACTGGCCAAACTAGGAAAGACTTAATGAATTACCTCAAAAAACAAATCTACAGTGAGTCAATGAACGTCAACCATTTAAAATTGTGAAGTCAAAGTAACCCAGAAAAAAATCACACAGAAAGATACTATGATTAAATTACCATTAGTTGTCAAATGATAATCTGTTCCCTTCATTTTCCTCCTTGAATTCTCTACAAGTCTCTGCCACCTCTAAAGTCAATGATTCATCATACTTAACTGCATTTCAACCCAATGAAATACCAGTTTACTTACTGTAAATCTACCTATGAACATGGAAAGACAACTCATTATTTTTAAAATTTTTTGAGACAGGGTATCACTATGTAGTCCAGGCTGGCCTCAAAGTTGGAACAATCTTCTTGCCTCAGTCTCCCCAGTGGTGGGATTATAGCTGCGCATCATTACACTGGGCAATTTTTTTATATTTCTGACTGCAATCAAGAATCCTTTCAAGAGTTAAGCAAGCTTCTGACTTGAAAATTGTGTTTCTGAAGAAAAATGTTACTTTTACCCTTAAATTTTTGTCATTTAAAACAACAATGAAGCAGTCAAGGGACATGTAGATTGTCAAAATCTTTTACTTGAAAAAGTCAAGAAGCTGGATGAAGTGGCGCATATACTCAGGAGGATTGATTGCTTTATAAGTTCGAGGGAAGCCTGGACTGCAAAAAGAAAACTTTTAGCTATCTTTCAATAAGTACTTTTTTTTCAAAAAGTACACAATTTAAAATAGCATTATTATTAACTTTTTAGAGGAATTTGTATAAAACCAAAAGATCTGTGAAAGGCTAAACACATTGACTTTAACAAAACTTTCCAAACCACCCCCCAAAAACTGATCTAACAGTTATTTCAAAAATGAACTGGGCTGGGGATTTAGCTTAGTGGTTCTGACGCCTGCCTCGAAAGCACAAGGACCAGAGTTCAATCCTTGGTACCAAAAAAAAAAGTTACATGAAAAATGAACTGGTCAACCTCCCTCATTTTCAAATTATTCCCCCAAATCGAAATAGATTAAAATTTAATAAAAACTTAACTTACAAAAGCCCATTAGCCCATTAATCAAAGCCAACTCTGCTTATTTTTTAATCCTTACATTTCTTCCCTAAAATGTACTAGTTTAATCTGTGATTTTTGCTGTGCCCCAAAGTATCTTAAGCTCAATCATTTTAAAGTCAAAAGCTATCTCAGTTTATTAGAAAATGTTCCTTAAGTCTTCCTTTAAAATAGAAAATTTGAACATTACGTTGCTCACAAGCAAGTTCTATTTATTTTGAAATCCTAACCTGTTATCCGTGTCTGAAGACATATCTAACAGCTACCTTTCTTTATTAACAGGCCGATTACAATCACAACATCATGTAGTTCATACAGGGAGACTTGTTTGCAAACTAAGAGGATGAGGGCAACCTCTAAAGTCTAAAAGTTATCATACTATCATTTACATGAAGACCCATCACCTCCTTAAATTCAAAATGAGACAGATCATAATAACTGCTCCCCTCCTAAACTGACACCTGCACTGCAGCTTTGTCTCAGAGAAGGCAGTATTTCTTTTACATCTTCCCAATTTACATTTGCAAGTTATAGGTCTACATTAAAAAAAAAAAAAGGAATGTAGCCTACTTGGGAGGAGTCCCTGCCTAATTACAGCACTTTCTCAGATTCCAGTTAGCAACTGACAGTTTCACACCCAAAACAGCATCTTCATAGCAAGAGCTTTTCTTTGCAAATGCAGCGCAGCTTTTCTAAGCTGAGGGAGCAAGTTGGAGTGAGTTGGGCTTATCCAGAAAGGGAAAGGGGATTGTGGAAGAGAAAAGGGAGTGAGGGAGACATGTCAATGACTGCAGCCCCGTAACCGTAGAGCAATAATTTCGTGTGCCCCCCCCCCGCCGCCACTCACTCCTGAAGTCCGCGCCCTCTGACCATAAACACAAAAGGGTTGGTGCCTGAAATGCTATCTGCGCAGTAGGAGCCGGGCAACAGCTCCGCCAGTAGGAAACAGTAAGAACTCCCCCTATTAGGCCCCCAAGATTCTCCCTAAACACCGAAAGCCCCTCCTCTCCTCTATGACTAGGTGGCTCCTAAACACACTCTGGTCACCGACCTACAAGGCCTATTTCAATCAACCAGCTGCCGGTCCTCTTCTACCTGAGCCTTTCTCTACGGCTTGTCCCTGCTGCCCCCTATAGGGCCGTCTCGTACCCTATAACCTTCACCATCACCCCCTCCCAAGTCCTGCCACCCCCTTTGGTCCCCAATCCCCTCCCTCATCTTCTATTAGGCTCCTCCGAGCACTGAGCCCGCTCCTCCTCCCGACGCCACCGCGCACCACATTCGACTCTTCTCAAGCACCCCCACCCCACACAGCTGCCGCCCGCCCTCCTTCCTCTCCAGGCCCGGCCAGCCCTCCGACCCGGAGCGCCCCCTACGCCGGCCCGAGGGGCTCCCTGCTGCCCCCTGGGCCCCTCTGGCTTCGACCCTACCGCCTCACCCCGTTCCCCGCGGCTCGGGCCAAGTCCTACCACTGAGGCCACTCCCGCTCGGTACCCTCGGTCCTTTATTGTTGACTCGAAGCTCCCAAAATGGCGGCGGCTCCTTCCTCCTCGGAAACCTCCGCCCGCCCCCACCCGGCCCCTAGCCGCGGCCTCCGCCCGCCCCCGGCCCTCCCCTCCCCGCCCCGCCCCGCGCGCCCCGCTCCCGCCGCTCTGAGCAACCCCGCCCGCGCCCCGGCCTCCCCGCTGCCCGCACTACCTTCGCCGCCGCCCGCTCTCACGGCGCCGCCGAAGTCGCCGCCGGGCTGAGCTAACTCTGCTCCTCTGCCCCCTCCCTCGCCGCTGCCTCCCGCCCTCCTCCCCAGCCTCTCCGCATGGCGGCGGCCGCAGCTCCTCCTCCACTCAAGATGGCGAGAGCTCGGCCGCCGCCGCCACTGAGCTCGCCCCGGCGTCACGGCCTCGGCGGGCTGAGGAACCCAGCCAGGGACGCTCCCTGAGAAAAAAACGGCAGCCGTTCGGCCACACCGTGACGCCCGAAACGGGCTCCTCGAAAGGGCAAGGGGCTTGTTTCCTCACAGCTGAGGAGAAATAGTTGGGGAATGGTGGCCGGGAAGAGTCGCCTGTCTTCGCCCCTCCAAAGTGAACATCGGGGGTTGTGACCCGAGGAGGACCTGCGTGTGCCTGACCAAGGACACGTTCCGAGAACCTCTGGGCAGGGCTCGGGAGCGGGAAGCTGACCTGACATCTCCCATGGACCAAGGGCCGCCTCCCTCCAGGATCGAGCGGAACGAGTGGCCCAGAGGCGCCAGTGCGCGCGGCCGTGGGGCCGGAAGGGGGCCCGGCCGGGACGGGAGGGCGGGCGCGCCCGGGGAGGCTCCGGGGAGGGGCTGGCCCCGAGGGCGCGCCTGGGGGAGGTGGGGGCTGGGTGCGCCCGAGGAGGGTGTCGGTGAGGGCCGGCCGCCGGGGGCGCCAAGCCGGAAGGGCGACCGTACATCCGGCCTCCAGTGGGCACTGCTCAGGGAAGAGGGACCGGACCTCCCCCACGGGGACGGACGCTTCGGAGGAGTCCCTCGTAATGGAAATAGGAGCTCTGCAGGAGGCCGAGGCGCGAGAAGAGAGGGGATGGGGGAGGGGTCGTTGGCTCCCTTGCTTGACTCGCTGTTAAGATATTGATGCATTCGTTCCCATAATTACTTTTCAGATCCTAGTATCTCCGTTTATCCTTAACAGGACAGTAATGCTACCTTGTTCCAAGTAAAACAAAAATTTGGAGCTAAAAGCTAGCTAGGTCAAGGAACAGTAAAAACTTGGGTCTCATCCAGCTGACAGTCTGAATGTACAAACCGGCAGTGGCCAAACCATAAGCGATAACAGAACTCTGACCGGAGACGTCACGTCTTGGTCCTTGACCGGCCGCTTTTGGGGGTGGTAGTGTTTCCAACTCTGGGCCAATTGGAGAAAGCCAAATAGGCTGTCCAAACCAATCATAGAAGCTGCCCTTCCTCTAGTTAAACTGCCTCCAACTTCCTGTTTCCAACAACCTCCAATCAGAGCATACCTGAAGCTTTTCTCTTTTTATTCTTTTGTTTTTTCTTTCGTTTTTTTCTTTCCATCTTTTTTTTTGTTTTTTACTATCCCACTTCCCTTTTAAAATCTACTAAACCTAGCTTTCTCTTGCTATGGCAAACTGAATAAATAGCCTCATTTGGTGGGCCTTGTTAATTTCCATACAGTAATAGAAAGGTGGTAAATTCTGAAAAAGCTGATCATGAGATTAAAAAGAAAGTTCCCCTATTTTTTTTCTTTCGTACCGGGAATCGAACTCAGGACCTTGCACTTTGGAGGCAGCTGTGGCGCCACTGAGCTGAATCCCTGGCAAGTTCCCCTATTTTTAAAAAATGAGCACATCATCTCATCCAAGCACAGTGGCCCACACCTATAATCCCAGCAATTGGGAAGACTAAGGGAGGAAGAGGGCAAATTCAAGGTCAGCCTGAGCAAATTAGTGATTCCCTATCTCAAAATAAAATTTTTTTTAAAAGGTTAGGGATGTAGCTCAGTGGTAGAGCACTTGCCTACCGTGTGCAAGGCCTTGGGCTTTTGGGCAAGGTGAGGATGAAGTAGTCAACTCTCACCTAGATTTTAAAATACCTGCTCATTCCAAGAGAAAATCTTACACCTTGTACCTATTTTGGAAGATGACAAAACGATTTTTTAGTGATAATGTAATGTCTGAGGCCTTGTTTGCCCTGCTACCTTCCCAAGAAGCAGGAATGTGTATGAGAGGCAGGTTTAATAATTTAAAGGTGGGGGGTTTCTTTCCCTAGACAACTCAAGATATGGGACCAAGCAAAGGAGAGGGGCTCACAACCACACATAATTTGTAACTTTCAAAAGGAGCCACAGGTTAACATTATTGCTCCCCCAAGGCAACTAAAATAGAATATGATAAAGCTGTCCTAGAAATCCAATGACTAAAACCTGTAAAGATTCCAGATAATATACAATACTTTTAAAATAGTCAAGCTGGATGTGGTGGCTCACTCCTGTAATCCCAGCCCTCTCTCTGGAGGGTGAGGCAGGAGGATCGCTGTGGGTCCAAGGCCAGCTTGGGATGCATTATTGAGTTCAAGGCCAGCATGAAGGACATAGTGAGACCCTGTCTCAAAAAAGAAAACAAAAAATCCCAAAAATGTCAAATACCCTCAACATTAATTTATTTCAACCATTTTCAGTTTTCTTTGAGAAGCATAGATGGCTTAGAATTAAGCTGTGAGTTCTTGGATCTTTTCTCTCGGGCACAATTTTAGTGGTCAATAGGCCTACTATCTCTACATTTTTTCCTCCCTAGTTCAAACAGGAAGGGTAAAAATCATATAAAATATGACCCTATAGAAATGTAGGAGTTACTTGCTAATGCATTTGGTATCCTTATATTTATAAAATGTATACCTTTGGGCTGGGGATTTAGCTCAGTGGTGCTGCCTCCTGCCTCACAAGCACAAGGTCTTGAGTTCGATCCCCAGTACCAAATAAATAAAAATTAAAATTAAACTATATACCTTTTCAGGAAAATGTTATAGAATCCAATCTGTTGGCCCTTTAGTTAATATTGACTTTAATAGTTATGGGTGATCTATAGTAAATATGGTTTATGGAGGGTATGCTATCCCCAGGGAGGTCACCTAATTGTAGCAGAGAGTTTCCAAGATGTATTGGCCATTTTCTTGTTGTTTTTAGTCAGTCTTACCCCACCTAACCCTTACCCCACTCCATCCCATTTTTTGGCCTTGAATTATGAAGTTATTAGCTAAAGTGTTGTCTTGTTGGTGGGTTCCTAGAGAAACTACCTCCAGGAGGGTGTATTAGGCATTTTTCTTGTTACTAGGACAAAATACCTGACATCTGCAGCTAAAAGGAGAGGTTTATTTTCATTCATGTTTCAGTCCACAATTGGCTGGTTCTAAGGGAGAATGGCATAGCATAGGTGATCACAGCATGGTGGGTGGGAAACAGAGAAATCAAGGGAGGAGCTGGGAAAGGAGATATGCCCTTCTGTGCCACATCCACAGTGACCCACCTCTTCTGACCAAACTCCACCTCGTAACAGCAAGTCAGCTATACTGCCCCCAAATCCAATCACCCTTTGAAAACCCCACTTAGGAAGGCATGAGGTTTGGGGACATCTAGATATAAACCATAACAGTCCACCTCTGGCCCCCCAAAGACCATGCACATCTCTATACAAAATAAACTTAGTCCATCTCTAAGAGTTGCCCAAGTCTTAGCAGTTTCAGCATTGCTGAAAAGTCCAAGTGCAATGTCTCCCCAGAGACTTACAGCAAACTTTTAACTGTCAACCCTTGTAAATATCAAAAAGAAGGTAAACACTTGCAACATTAATGGTACAGGATAAACATTCCCGTTGCAAAAGGGAGAAATACGAAGATAGAAACCTAGCAGAGCAAACATTAAATTCTATAGCTCCATATTCAGCACTCAGGGCAAGATGTGGCAAGATGTGTATTCCAAAGGGCTTGGGCAGCCCCTCCGCTACGTCATTGCTGGTGCTTGTATCCCTCATGTCTTCTCTCTTGGTCTACCTTTATTCACTGCTCACAGCTTTTCTCAGATGTTCCATGTTCCAGGCTTCTCAAAATTCATGAGGTCTCTGCTTCACTTTCGGCTTCAATCTCACAGCTTCATGCACTTCCCTCTTAGGGGCACACTGCCTGACCTCCTGGGCCTTCTGAAATCTGGGCAGAGGCCTCTCTGACCCTACAACTCTTGTATATTGGATGCCTGTAAAACCAGCTCCACATGGATGATGCCAAGGTCTGTTGTCAGCACGCACAGTAGCCAGGCTCCCTGGAATTGTGGCTGCAGGGGCTTTTGAGTGTTGGATGGCTCAGCATTGTGAACCATATCCCAGAGAACCAATTCCCTAGGCTGTTTTTGAGCACAATTCCCAGGGGCTCATTTCCCAAGGCAAAGTCTTTTACTTTTGCAATTTTGAACCTGTGGAGGGTAGGGCCTTGCTGGTTTCTCAAATGCCCTCAAGTTGTCTTTTGTATTGTTTCTATATAAAGTACCTGGCCTATTTTTGATACTAATCCTTTCAGCAACCAAACTCTCCTCTGCTCCAACTTTACAAGCCCTAGCTTTACTGGAGCTTCCTTTTTTGTGAAACTAAAAACTAAAAACATTTAAAATCACTTAACTGTGCTGTTTGCTTTTTTTGAATCAGGGTCTCACTATGTAGTTCACACTGACCTCGAACTCACTATGTAGCCCAGGCTGGTCTTGAACTCAAGATGATCCTCCTGCCTCAGCCTCCTGAGTGCTGGGGTTACAGGCAGGCACCACCATGCTTGGCTTGCCGTTTGCTCTTGATTCTCAATGTAGAGCAGGCTAAAAGCCCCAATAGTACCCATGTCACAGCCTGAATGTTGGGCTGCCTTGAAATTTCTTTGGGCAGATTAATTAGTCCATTGTCCTTAATCTCAGGCACCCAAAAATCTCAGGCCATGAGCAAAATGTAGACAAATTTTCTGCTATAGCATAACAAACATGGCTTGGAGTCCAACTACCAACCAATAGAGTCCTTGTTCTCAACTGAACTCTCTCTTTTTTTTGAGACAGGATCTTCCACTGTAATTCATGGTTTTTGTTTTGTTTTGTTTTTGCGGCACCAGGGATCTAACTCAGGACCTTGTGCTTGCACTTGGGAGGCAGGCACAGAACCACTGAGCTAAATCCCCAGCCCTCCCACTGTATTTTAGGCTTGCCTTGAACTCACTGTGTAGCCCAGGCTGGCCTTGAATTCCCAGAAATCCTTCTACCTTAGCCTCCATGTCTGGCATCAACTGAAACTTCTTGAGCTGGTCTTTACCATCTGCCTTTTTATCAGCATTCTGGTCTTCTGACCTCTGACCAGAGTCTCCCATTAAGCTCAGCTTACAGCATTCTACCACTGCTTCACCAGCTGGCATCTCCAAACCTTTCCAAACTCTTGAAAGCCAGTTCCAAAGGGTTCTGAACTACATGGCCAGATAGTATCACAGCAATGACCCCACTTCTCTAGTACCAAAATCTGTCTTAATCGATTTCCTCATCACTGCTCCCTTAATCCAGTCACCTTTCCAAAGCCCTGCCTATGAAGGCACGAGGCTTTCATGGTGGTGGTGGTGGGGGCAGGCATCTAGATAGAAACCATAACAGAGGAACATTTTAAAAAGAAAAATGATTCACAAATAGTTTTGAGGTTCTTAATATCTCTGCTTAAAACACAATAGAATTGCCAGGGATTTAGCTCAATGGCACCACGTCTACCTCGAAAGCTCAAGTCCT